GGGATTAAAGTTCTCCGTCGTTACGACGGATTTCCGTCAATTGGAGCGAGTCATTGACGGATTTCCGTCAATTACAGTGTTCCGCTTGTTCTTAATTTTTTTTCATGCTCTTTTCCTAATTTTAATGCTGTAAATATAGGCATTTCTCAAATAGTGTAATAAATGTCTTAATTTTAGTTTGAATAGGTCTTAAATTAAGAAAAGAAGTGTATTCAGCCTGCTGAGGAGGAAAAAAATTTTGTGATCAAAGCCTGGAGTGGAGCAAATGCACGTTCCTCTCTCCACTCTAAGCGTTTTAGCATCACTCCGCTATGGATCCACTCCGGGTTTTGGTATAGTTTCAGAGAAGTACATGTCAGGCTACGGCTGAGGTAAGTTATTTATATTTAAGATAGCATGGACCCATTTATAATGCAGGAAGGCTCCGATGTTTCGGAGATCGAAAAAAGTGTAAAAAATAAATGGAGATGGGCTTGGCTTAGCGAAATTGGGGAGAATGGCAAGCCTTTTAGTTCGTGGGCAAAAAAAATTAAACAACCAGGTACGTGTCTTTGCACAGTATGCCACAGGAAACTTCAATATGGCAGTAATGGCAAAAAAGTGCTAGCTCGCCATCAGTCAGAAGCCAGTCACAATGCCGCCGTTCGTGCTCTACAGTACACTTGCTCCCTGCCTGGTGCGACAAGTACCACAACGGAGATTCATGCATCTATGGCCGACCGTGTGTGCGAATTAAAAGTGCGCGTATGTTCTTTCATAGCGGAGCATGACCTGTCGTTCACAATCTCACAACCGCTAGTTAATTTGATGCAGTCAGTTGTCAAAGACAAGAGTGCACTTTCAAGATTGTCAATGTCTAATGCACATGCCTCCTACTTGTGCACACATGGTATTGCTGCTTATTGGAAGTCCGAATTGTCATCTAAGCTGAAAACGAAGATGTTCTCATTAAATGTAGATGAGGCAACAGATGGAAACATGGACAGGATTCTGAATGTTCTTGTTCGGTACTATGATGAAGATGTGGGAAAAGTGGCAACCCAGCATCTAGCCTCGAGGAAACTGAATATCGCAGATGCCTTATCAATCACAAACACATTGACAGATATTCTCCAGTCATATAGCCTGAACTGGAATCAGGTTGTTGGTATACTGTTGGATAACTGCAGTGTGATGAGAGGGAAAAAGTCTGGAGTAGAGACACTAGTCAGAAGAGAAAATCCATCACTGCTGGATGTCAGCGGAGACACTGTCCATATGGTCTCGAATGCAGCCAAGGCCCTTTTAAATACTTTCCAGGGATTTGTGGAACAATTTTGCTCTGATGTATACTATGACATTGAAAAATCACCCAAACAGAAAGAAATTTTTTCTGAGTTCCAGTCCTTACTTCATTTGGAGAATAAGAGCCTAATACGTCCCATCAGCAGCAGGTTCCTGCAAATGTTAGATGTGTGCAACAGAATACGGGACCTTATGGATCCATTGACCGTGCACTTCTACAGCGTCCTGTCTTCTCATGATCAACACAAACACAGGTACTTCTATTTTTGTATCATCTTATTTCTGTACTAGTAGGCTTTTTTTGGATCTTTAATAAAACACACACACGCACAGGTCTATGGTGATATCTTTGTGGGGCCCTTCCATAGGCATAATGTATTTTTTACTGTTTAAACTGTATATTCTATCCCCTTCCCCTTTTATTTCCCACGTGGGGCCCACAAAAAGGGCCCCACAACATCAAAAATCCCCGGTATTACTATCCATGAGGGGACATTTGGTCCTAAAAAAGTAATATAAATAAACACACACACACACACACACACACACATATATATATATACACACTCACTTTTTTGTTATTAATAATATTTAAAGATGCAGACATTTACTGGATTTTTTTACATAACAAATCTAAACCAAGGGGTGGCGATGCCTCAGTGATCAATCAGGTTATGTATATAAAGTTATAGATACAGTGACTCAAAGGGTTAAATATGTTAGAACAGTGAAGCTCAGCTTTATTCCAGATGCTATCAAATTATTAAATAATCTTTATATAGAAAAAAGGATGAGTCTTGACCTGTAAACTCAAAAATTATGTCATGACTGTTGAAGTATTGGCAATTAGAAATAGCATTGTCTATTTTTTCTCCTTAATCCTTATTTGTATATTATAATTTTGTGATGCAGATGGCTCCTTAACCAGCTTCTTGATAAGCATGCAGTTACATCTGATGAGAAGGCCAGGATAATATGTCTGCAACAGCAAATAGCAAAATCTGCGAGGATAGGAAGTGATGTCAACAAAAAACGAAAGACACGCATCTGTATGCTTTTTTCCGAGTTCGACAAGCTCACAACCATTATTGATTTGTATCGAGGTATGTTCACTTTTTATTCACTTTAAGTGTTAAGAAAAGTACAGAGATTTCTTATTTATTGAAATCCCTTTATTGCTATATTTATTATATGCTTATTTTTCTTGGAATCCTTGAATGGAATCTGAGTTAACTATAAATAGTTTTTAGATCACTGTTAATCAGATCACTTTGGTTAATACTACTACTACTAATAATAAACTATTTATACAGCAGTTTTCAAAAACAAAGTTACGGACTTATTAACCAGATTTAAAACATGTCAGGACTGATGTAATTTAAACTAGACAATTGAATAATACAAATGGAAATAACAAATCTAGAAAATAATATTAAAGGGTTGTAATGTTCTAAGAAGAGTATGTTACATTGCTATGAATGTGATAATTAATCAATGAATAAAATATACAGACCCATTTCTAATCTGGTTCTATTGTGATTTTTAGGTGTACTTCCAACTTTCCAGGTGTTCCTGAAGAAGTTGCAACATGAAAAGCCCATGATTCATGTGCTGCATGCTGAAATGCTACTGCTGGTTAGGGAACTTCTCTCCAAATTTATGAAGCCTAAAACTATCCCTTTGAGTGCAAATGGCTTGTTGAAGCTTAATGTTCACCAGAGAGACCTGCAGTACACTGACAAAAGGTTGTCTGTGGGAAGATTCAGCTTCTTTGCCTTAAACAAGGCTAGAGTGGAAAAGAAGCCCTGGGTGCAGAAGCTCTACAGTTCTCTCAGAGAAGGCTACATAAAGGCAGCAACATTCCTCCTGAAAAACCTGCCCCTCAACAACATCATCATTACCTCTTTATCTGCGTTGACACCATCATTGATTCTCCACGAATCAGTCCAAGGTGCATTCAACACCTTGGCCAAGGCCTTGCCAAATGCTGTGAAGTCAGAAGAGTTGGGTCAACTGGATGAAGAGGTTCGAGCCTACCAGATTAATACAGATCTAGGAGCACAGGCCAAATGCTTTGAGGAGAACAATGCACGAATCGATGTTGACTGGTGGAGTAAGATTTTTGCCATGAAGATGACAGGAGGAGGAACGAGGTTCCCCATCTTAGGGAAGTTGGTAAAGGCTCTTCTGTCATTGTTCACTGGCCCTCTTGTAGAAGGATCATTTAACATGATGGATGATATAATTGAGAAAGACAGGGTTAGGCTGAACATTGAGACTTATGAAGGTTTAGCCATTCTCAAGTCCAACATGAAGGTAATGGGCAAAACTGCATCTAAAATGCAAATTACCCCTGCATTAAGGAGATTTTGCCTGTCTTCTTATGAGACATACCAAAATCATCTGAAGAAAAAGAAGGTGAACCTTGACAATCAAAAGGAAAGGAAACTGAGGGAAGCTGTGAAGGTTCTCTCAGAAGTTAGGGTTAGAAAAGTAAAGAAAGGTTCCACCTCTTATGTTTGTGCTAAAGCCCCCACCTCTTCCACCCTGGGAGTTAAACGAATAGCTGCTGCTACAGCCTCCACCTCCTCCACTGCTGGAGTTAAAGGTAAATCTGCTGCTACAGCCTCCACCTCCTCCACTGCTGAAGTTAAAGGTAAATCTGCTGCTACAGCCTCCACCTCCTCCACTGCTGGAGTTAAAGGTAAATCTGCTGCTACAGCCTCCACCTCCTCCACTGCTGGAGTTAAAGGTAAATCTGCTGCTACAGCCTCCACCTCCTCCACTGCTGGAGTTAAAGGTAAATCTGCTGCTACAGCCTCCACCTCCTCCACCTCTCCTGGAGCCACTCCTGCACATGTAGCTAGTCAAACACTAAAACGGGTTTCAGGTGTAGCCAAGCTTCAGGAATATGGTTTTACAGCCAAAAAGCAGAAAAAGTGAAAAGCACTCTAGAGGCATTTGGACAAGAAAAGCACTTTTTGGAATTTAGTGGTGGTGCTGTTACTTTTTTTTTGCTGTTAATTATTAATAGTTTCACAAAACATTGTTTGGTGTTATAAGATACATAAAACATGCACTGAAAATACACTTTTTGAAAAAGCACTTTTTGGAATTTAATGGTGATGCTATTACTTTTTTTCTGTTCATTATTAGGAGTTTCACAAAACATTGTTTGGTGTTATAAGATACATAAAACATGCACTGAAAATACACTTTTTGAAAAAGCACTTTTTGGAATTTAATGGTGATGCTATTACTTTTTTTCTGTTCATTATTAGGAGTTTCACAAAACATTGTTTGGTGTTATAAGATACATAAAACATGCACTGAAAAAAACACTTTTTGAAAAAGCTCTATTTTGAATTTAATGGTGGTGCTATTACTTTTTTTCTGTTAATATGAGTTTCACCAAACATTTGGTGTTATAAGATAAATAAAAACATGCACTGAAAAGATGTGTGGTAGATGGTTGATTATTTGTCAAGTTATATATTTTTCAAAGATAGCTTTTAAAATATGCAAACTGGCAACATTAAAGCGGTTTAATCTCCCCTTAAAACGCTATTGGTCTCGGCTATTTAAATAAAATTTTGGTTTTAGGAATATGGCTTGGCCTGAAAAAAGTTCAGTCACAAGAATTTTTTTCACTTTAATCCCTGATATATATATATATATATATATATATATATATATATATATATATATATATATATATATATATATATATATATAGTATTTTTGTTGTAAAAAAATTTACAAGTAATTTTTCCATAGTTAAAAATTAGGGATGCATCGAATACTTGGCCACCGAAAGATTTTAAAACCACAATGCTGAAACAACATGTTGTGACGCAAACAGAAAGTGCGGCCTGCATGTGCTTGTCTAAAGCAGCATGTGTGCGGTGTGTCTATTCCATCTATTCAGATCCTCAGTTCTTGATCCACGATATAAAGATCATTATTTAAATGTCGAAATAAAGCAGCGCAGACGAAATGATCTAGACCACGATGGATGTGGAGAAGCCGCAGGAGACTGGTGCTTTCAGAGTTAAAGCAGTGTGTGGCCAGCGCGTAGGGATATATATATATATATACTATTTATTTTTACTTTTCATCTACACTTTTCATCTACATCTGCTGTTTCCTTAACCTGCAACTCTTCATTTTACTAATTATATAGTAAACTCTCAGAGGACTATCGTCTGTGATATGACATTTTGTTTTTGATTGTCAGGATGATGTAGGCTTATAGCTATAACATTTATACAATATAGTTATGATATTTATACACGATCACACTAGTGTGCAGCTTAAGCAGGACTAATACTGAAATTGTTTGAAATTTGGTTTTATAATTTTATTATTAATAGTTTAAGTTCATTTGATTGACTATAAAAATCTGTGGATATTATCAATGCATTTATATTAGCTTTAATATTCATTTATGCAAGTGCAATGCCTTCATTATAAGGTTAGTACAGAGTCGTCATAGCCATAAATGCAACTAATAACTGTCATCATTTATTTTGGTGTTTCGGTTTCCGGCCTTGGTTTCCTCTTTTTTGGTTTTCGGTTTTGGCCAAGAATTTTCATTTCGGTGCATTGCTTTAAATATTTTTGTTATCACTCTACAATGGTGTAACAGTGGGAAAATGTTAATGAAATGTTTTTTTCCGAAAATATAATTTTATACCACATGCACATCATTTTAAAAAGGTTACTGGTTCAAGTCCCGGCTGGGTCAGTTAGCATTTCTATGTGGAGTTTGCATGTTCTTCCTGTGTTTGCGTGGGTTTACTCCGGTTTCCCCCACAGAACAAAGACATGCGCTATTGGTGAATTGAATAAGCTAAATTAGCTGTTGTATATGACTGTGCATTGATGTTTGAATGTTTCCCATTACTGGGTTGCAGCTGAAAGCAGGCACGTGCACACATAGGGCTCAACCTGTGCAGCAACCCTTTTAGTCTTGCATAGAAAGTGCCCTTCCAAAATGAATTAAAGTGCCCCATGGACCCCCTCCCTACTTTTCGTGCGCGATTAAACTCCCCTCGCCCACACCCTGCCTTATCCCCCACCCCCGCTATTGATTACACGCATGACTATAAAACTATAATTTACTTATGTTTAGTACAGCATGTTATTTGCAGTAAATAACTGAACTCAACTATTCTCCCTCATATGTTTCATTGACAGTTTTATTGATCACTGAAATGTGATCGACTTGGATTTAAGTTGTTTCGATTTAAAAATAAAAATTGTAAAAAATAGCTTAGATGTAGCTAAGCTTCTTTTGCCGTGTAGCTTTTAGCTAAGCTTGCTACATTTCCCAGGGGGTTGCTTTAGTGTAGTAAAGCTACATTTTAAGTAGAGTAGCTAATAGCTTAGCTCACATTTGTCAAGTAGCTTGCCCAACACTGTGTGTGTGTATAAATATATATATATATATATATATTTATGTAAAACATCAATGTATATGAGAATACAATGTTGATTAACAATATACACTACTAGTCAAAGTTTTTTTTTTTGTTTTAAATCTTTTCTGCTCTCCAAGCCTGCATTTAGTTAAATAAAGTATGACAAAAACAATTTGGAATCTATTTACTATTTAAAGGAAAACGTCATTTATTGTGGTGAATTCAAAGTTGACTTTTTAGCATTTTTTAAAAGAAAAATTCTGATACCTTTAGCATAAAAAAATCCTGAAATCAATGAACTTTAACAAATATTAATAATAATGAACATTAGAGCTGCAGGATATAGGAAAAATCGAACACTGCAGTATTTTGTTTTGCTGCGATATACAGTTCAAGTCCGCTAGAATAAAAGCAGTTTTTATTTTTTTTAATAACCATTTTAGTGTCTTGAAAAATATCTAGTCTAATATTATTTACTATCATCATGGGAAAGATAAAACAAAGAAGTTATTAGAAATGAGTTATAAAAACTATTATGTTTAGAAATGTGTTGAAAAAAATCCGTTAAACAGAGAACTGGGAAACAAAATAAACTGGGGGCTAATAATTCAGGGGGGTTAATAACTCTGACTTCAACTGTATATATATGCACACACACACACACACACACACACACACACACACACACACACACACACACACACACACATATATATATATATATATATATATATATATATATATATATATACACACACACATATATATATATATATAAATATATACATATATATATATATATACATATATATATATATATATATATATATATATATAGCGCCTATTCATAACCTTAGAATAAAAAGCTGTTTTACCTTATTCGGAGGTAGATCATGAATATTAATGAGCTCTGCTCTGACGCTTGGCACAGTTCATGTCCCTGATATTCACACAGTGTCATGTACTCTGAAAAACACATAAAATATAGACTTGTGAATAAAATATACCTTAAATTATAATTATACTTGACAAAAGGAGCCCACAGATGTATTTAGATTTGTATTATAAAGTTTTAACATATACAAAAACTATTAATGTCAGCCACCGTGTAAACAAATGACATTTAATAAAGTGCATTGCTGATCTTCCACTCCAGAAAAATCACACTATAGTCCATAATATTCGTATACATTTTTTTGTATTCATATGTGAAAAAATTGCCACTTTAACAAACTTTGCATGCTGAGTCTGATGTGTATTAATTAATCCACAATGAAAAAAAGGCTAAACATTTCAGAGTCAGTTCAATCAGTGACGCTTTGTTCTTCTCTCTTCTCCAAAGCCGAAAAAGAAAGAGGAATAGACTGCATATTGCGTTCATCCAATACTGTGCTAGAGGAAGGAGAGTTCAGCTCATTATCAAACAGCTGCGCTGGATTACCCCCAAATGCAAAGTTTATTTCAGGAAATCCGTGGAATTTCCATACATGGCTTGTGATAGTTCACACATTCACATACGTAAACAAATCCTGAACTGAGACTGGTAGTAACTATAGACATTATAATAGATGGCGGCCGCATTGACGTGTCGAAGAAACGGAACGAAAGCAGACTATGGTTTCTATTGTCGAATGTAGGGACACACACAAACACCAAGCAGCAGATTCGGCCTTTATCTTATGCTCTGTGTTTGTGGTAAAGTTATCTGTAGCTCAAATGACGGCATTCTGTATTTAGTTTTTTGCTCGTACGGTGGCTCTGAACTGTCGAAACATCTCAAATCGCTTTTTCGGATGCGAATAGCAAAAAAACGAAACAAACCCGGTTAGAGTTTGTGCTGGGAGAAAGTTTCGGAAGCAGTGTGTCAATAAAATCGACACAATATGAGGTCAATTTTTATTTATTTAATTATTATTTTTACAGGGTTTTCACCTTTAATGAATAGGAAAGTAGAGACAACTGACAGGAAAGTATGGGAAGCAGAGAGAGGAGAAGGATCGTCATAGGACCGCGAGGCGGAATCGAACTCGAGTCACCGTGAGCACCGGAGTGCATGTGTCGACTCACCAACCACTACACCACTGGCGCCGACCAATTTTTAAAATTATTTAAAATTATTTTTTTTACTTGCGAAAATTACGGACGAAAATTTAGATTCATTTCCCAGAGATGGGCTGCGGCTGGAAGGGCACAAAAATGTGCTGGATAAGTTGGCAGTTCATTCTGCTGTGGCGACCCCGGATTAATAAAGGGACTAAGCCGAAAAGAAAATGAATGAATGAATGAATTTCGGATTTAGTGTGCAATAACCTTACGAGCTGAGTGATATGACATGATGCATAAACGTGCATTAAACTCGTACATTCAGCAGTCTACATGTATTTGTTGCCTCATTACAAATAATCGCGGCATATTTCACAATATACACGTTAAACTGACAAAAGAAATCACTTCGGGGTGGCTCTTATATGTATAATCAGTATATCCTATGTTCGTATAGCCCATACTATATAACACCCATATATATATATATATATATATATATATATACACACACACACACACACACACACACACACACACACACACACACACACACACACACATATATATATATATATATATATATATATATATATATATATATATATATATATATATATATATATATATACATACATACACACTAGATATTGATATATATATATATATATATATATATATATATATATATATATATATATATATATATATATATATATACACTAGATATATATACAGTCATCCCAAGTTGGGAAAAGTCATTTTTGGAGGATACAGAGTTGATTTGCGGGGGATAGTGGGTGTTTGAAGAGCGGGGGGTTGGGGTGTGTTGAGTGAGCGACGTATCTGGGTAGGGGGGCGTGTGCGCGCGAGACGTACCCAAAGAGCGGTGGGAGTTGCGCGCGTGACGCGACATAACATTACCTTAAGAGAGGTGGGGTGAGTTGCGCGCGACGTACCTGAAGCGATACGAGGGATGCGGTGAAGAGAGGGCTGTGCAACGTATTCAAGGACCGGGCAGGAAGCGCGCGATTTCCGGGAGATTATCATTCATTTGCGGGCATCCGGGAGTGTCTATGCATTTGAGGGATACTCCCGCAACTTCCGGGAGACTTGGGATGTCTGTATATATATATACACACACACTAGATATTGATATATATACACTATATATATATATATACACTATATATATATATATACAGTTGAAGTCAAAATTATTAGCCCTCCTATGAAATTTGTATTCTTTTACAAATATTTCACAAGTGCTGTTGAACAGAGCAAGAAAATAGTTTTCACGGCATTTCCTTTTGTATTTTTCTTCTGGAAAAGGTTTTTTTTCTTTTATTTTGGGTGAAATAATTATTTATTTACTTTTTTAAGTAAAAACTGCTAAGGTCAATATTATTAGCCCTCTTAAGTAATTATTTGTTTGATTGGCTCCAGGAAAAAACTACTGTTGTCCAATGACTTGCCTAATTGCACTAACTTGCCTAGTTAAGGTAATTAACCTAATTAAGCCTTTAAATTGCACTTAAAGCTTAAAACTGGTGTCTTGAAAAACAAATAGTACGATAATGCATTCTGTCATCATGACAAAGACAAAAGAAATAAGTTTAGACTTGAGAAAAAGAATTGTAGAGGCTCACAAAGAAGGAGAAGGATATACATGTTTATCAAAGCGTTTTCAAGTGTCAAGAAGTGCCGTGAGAAGTATTATCAAGAAGTTTAATGAGATCCACACTGTGGAGAACATGACTGGCAGAGGTAGAAAGCGAAAGATTTCCAAAACTTTGGAAAGAAAATTAGTAAGAGAGGTTTCTAAAGACCCAAGAACAACTGCCAAGACACTAGTGAATGACTTAGCCAAGTCTGGAATTAATGTCTCAGCAAAGACGGTCACTAGAGCCCTGCACAGGAGTGAACTGAAAGGTTGTCGACCAAGAAAGACTCCTCTTTTAAAAAAGAGACACCTCCAAGCTAGACTGAAGTTTGCCAGGGGCAATCTAGAGAAAAATAATGAATACTGGAAACGTATCCTTTGGTCAGATGAGACAAAACTAGAGCTCTTTGGCCATAGAGATGTTGCCTATGTTTGGAGGAAGAAGGGAGAGGCATTTAATCCAAAGAACACCGTTCCCACAGTGAAACATGGCGGTGGGAGTATAATGCTATGGGGATATTTCAGTGCATGTGGAACTGGGAATCTTATCAGGGTTGAAGGAAACATGAAAAAGGAAGACTACCAGAAGATTTTGAAAAATAACCTCAAACAGTCTGCAACAAAACTTGGTTTGGGTCGACGTTTTGTATTCCAGCATGATAATGACCCAAAGCATACCTCACTTCTGGTAAAGAACTACCTTCAACAGAACAAAGTGAAAGTCCTTGACTGGCCTGCACAAAGCCCAGACTTGAATCCAATAGAAAATCTGTGGGGGACACTGAAGTCTAGAGTTCATGCCAGAAGACCAACAAATCTGGAAGAGCTTGAGAGATTTGCTAAGGAAGAATGGGCTAACTCTCCTCAGGAGACATGCTTGAAACTTGTTGAGAGCTACAATAAACGACTGATGGCTGTTATCAAGCAAAAGGGTTACACTATTGACTATTAACATCAGAGGGCTAATAATTTTGACCTCCAAGCTTTTTTTATTTTTGATTATAATTGTGTTTCTGTTTGTATTACAAACACTCAAAGCTTCCTGAATAAACTGTTATGTTTAAAAATTATGTGTTGAAAAAATCTTTAATCCATTATAAAGCACTTGGGAGTTATTTGAAAAATAATGAAATATTTTATAGGGGGCTAATAATTTTGTCTTCAACTGTGTATATATATATATATATATATATATATATATATATATATATATATATATATATATATACACACACACACATACATATATATATATATATATATATATATATGTATGTATATATATATTACTATATATATATACACATTACTATATATATATATATACATACATACACTAGATATTGATATATATACACTAATATATATATATATATATATATATATATATATATATATATATATATATATATATATATATATATATATATATATATACACTAGATATTGCATAGGGACCATGATTTAAAACTCCCGATCATAGATATGTGTGTATAGTATAATCTCTGGCTCTGGATGGACACAGTTTTCCGCTGCAGCTTGGTCCCACATTCGTTTCAAAGGAGCGCTACCCTGTACTAAAATGGCAGCTCTATTGACGCATTCCTTCTAATAGACAACAACATGGTAGACGACATCTATTGTATATATCTATGTATAACGCCAGCCTCGTTTTCATAGAGTCCCCATACACAGGAAATATAATATAAGCTTAGATAAACTTCAAAATGCTGAGAAAATGTATCATTGTTGTAATCTCACAAGACTAATGTTTGGCCAACCAAATGCAGCCTACACTGTGTATATTAATGACCCCGTGGGCAACATTACAGTCTGTGTTTTGTTAAGATTTGCCTGCTTTTCGGTGGGATTTTACACTCATGGGATTTACATGAGAACGAGGAAGGCTCGTGATGTGACATTTCCATCTACTGAATTATTATGAACTTACTATTCAGCTGTGCTCAGGTCAATCCAGAAGTTTTATGATTTGGCACCTTTCACTTAATAACAAATCATTTCTGTGTTTGAATGTTTCCCTGTTTGTCATTTAAGTATGTTCTGTGTCCTTCAGTATGGTCAATAAATGAAAAATAATATCTGAAACTTGTGTATATCAAGTCTACAATTGTTTAATATTGTATTTTGTCTATGAAGTGAAGCAGCGGTTTTATTCCACTTGAGTTTTTAACTTAATAGCATTTTACAAGCGAACTGAAATCTAAATCTGAGAACTTGTTTATCTCGTTTTTAAAGGCAAGACAGTGCAAGTGAAAGTAATAAAAAGAAGGGACCAAAGTTATTGTTAATATTTGCAAAGTTTTTCAGAAAGTTCTTTTTAAATATGCACATGAAAAAGTAATGCTAATTTGCATAAACTTATGACACAAAAATTCTGAACTTTGAATGAGGTCACGTTCAAAATTCCCGTTTTGTTTACCTGACATATTAAGAGTCGGAAGTTTTACAGAGAGGAATTTGAGGATTTCCATAATTCAGAGTGAAGAGGTGGTAAATAAATAAATAAATAACGGTGTTTATATGAACAAATTACTGTAAAAACTTTTTGAAAATTAATATAAATATAACAAAACCCACATGAAAAAAAATACTATAGTAATTTACCATAAATGCTGTAGTGCTTTTGAAGCATACTATAGTAAATAATCTGTTGCGATAACTATATATGTAGTTGCTATGGTAACATATATAGTAATATAAACAAAAAGCCCAATACTGGAGTTTTCTACAACTATGGGGTTATTTGCTGTAGTAAGATTAATACACACACAGTAGAGCACACTTTACTATAGTATAGCTCAGAAACACTACATTATTTTGTATAAATTAATATAGTATCGTTTCATTGGCGTGTAAATACTTCTGAAGTGTACATTATGAAACAAAAATTGAAAAAACTCTCCTTAAAAATACATAATATTTAAACGTATATTTTAATACAGATGTTTATTGAAAGTGAAGGCTTAGCATTGTAGCTATTTTAGTGGGACTAACACTTTAGGAAACGTCAAAAATCCCAAAATCTCCTCCTATAATCTGACAGCTATAGCTAAATGGAGGGAAACAAAAAACAGCATTATTGAATATTTTCGCCTTAAAATGATCAATACACAAATGATGATCTTAAATTGAGTGGCAAACACACTTAAATCACGGACACTATTAGGTCTTATTGAAAAAAATAAACCAACACAAAAATGAAACATCCAGAAAAGTAGTGTGCTAATATCGAAAGAAACGCCATAGCACTCACCTGTTCACGCGTTCAGCTGGAGAAACGACATGGAGAAACTCAAAAAGACATCGAGTCAAAAACAAAGCACACTTAGTACGAGCACGGTGCATTAAGCTCAAATATAACATGTAAATATATTTAGACGGAGGTGGATATCCGTTTGTTTGGTGGTTTTGTGCGGAAGAGAGCAGGTTTGTCTCTGGGGGTTTCAGTTTTATCACTGACAAGCATCTCAACTCTGTTTGTTCGAATCAATCGTTCAAATGAACCGATTCACTCGAGCACATTCGAGAGCGTCCGCGCAGCATTTTATCGGCTCATGTTTGTTGCTTATTTAGCTATACTGACTCTGCTTATTTAGTGGAAAATACACATAAACTTGCGTCTGCGAATCTGACAAACAGTCATTGGATCCACAACACATGTGAGTCAAAATATTTGAACAAAATGTCGATCAACTTTAGTCAATTCCACTGCGTCGGTTCGTTCGTGTCCCGTTTAAACGATTTATTTACTTATCATAAATTAATATTAATCGATATAAAAGATGTATGGTACTAACATTATCTTACCCGTCTTATCTGATGAACTTTGGCTTCAAAATCTTCACAAACAATTCAGCAAACGCTTACCGTCCGAGTCTTTTCAATGATTCATTTGATCATAACCGTCACTGAAGTAGCCACCGCTGTCTGATAAACTGTGGGTTGTTTAGATATTGATGTGTTTTATGTTTCTGGGTTACATAAAGTAGGTATGACTCTGCTTATTTAGTGGAAACACAAATTTGCTTCAGGCAATTCAACAGTCTATCGATTTACAAAATATCTATCTACAACAATCAATTCCACTGAGTCAGTTCATTCGTGCCTCGTTTAAACGATTCATTTACTTATCATAAATATGAATGTTTATCATTATAGACTATTTATCGATTCTCTTAGCTGATGAGCTTTGGGATCCAAATCTTTTCAACCAATCTGATCATAATTGTCACTGAAATAGCCACTGAAGTAGCTGTCTGATAAACTCCAGTTGTTTAGATGTGTTTTGTTTCTGGGTTAAATGAAGTAGGTTTTGCTGTATTCAGACACTTTTCAAATTTCACCTAATTCCAATGGAAAATGCACTTTAGGTCGTTGCTACGTCTCAACAATGTTTGCTCGAACAAAACGTTCAAATGAACCTGTTTTTGGTACTGACTCTGCTTATAGTGGCTTCTGGCAATCTGACAAAAAGTCTATGGATTAACAACACGTGAGTCAAAATAACAACAAAATATCAATCTACTCAAACAGTCAATTCCACTGAGTTAGTTTGTTAGTGTCTCGTTTAAACTAATCATACATGACTATTTATCAACATATAATGTTTATGATACTTACATTCTCTTACCTAATGAACTTTGGGATCCAAATCTTTACAACCAAATCAATTTACAAACCCTCCAAGTCTTTTCTATTATGACTTATTTGATCGTAATCGTCACTGTAAAGTAGCTACCGCTGTCTGATAAACTGTGGGTTGTTTAAATATTGATGTTTTATGTTTCTGGGTTACATACGACTCACAAACTTGTTTCTGGCAATTTGACATCAGTCCATGGATATATCAAAACATCTAAACAAAATATCAATCTACTCCAATTAATGTCACTGAGTCAGTTCATTCGTGTCTCGTTTAAATGATTCATTTACTAATCATAAATATAAATATTTATACATTGTCTTACCTGATGAACTTTGGGATCCAAATCTTTACAACCAAATCTGATCATAATCGTCACTGTGAAGTAGCTACCGCTGTCTGATAAACTCTGGGTTGTTTAAATATTGATGTGCTTTTATCTTTTCGAGTTACATAAAGTACATTTGCTGTATTCAAACACAGTTATTTTTAAATTTCACCTCTTTCCCATGGAAAATGCACTTTAGGGTCGTAGCTGTGTTTTGGGAAATGATGTCTAGCTCTCAACAGGTTGGCTAGCCACCAGGATCCCAAAATATTAAACAAACCTTCAAGGAAACCATAACTCAACATATCTAAAGTTCAACAGTCAAGAGCAGAAACTTAACATTTATTATAGCAACTGTTTATTATGAGCACAGTTTTCACAAAAGAACATTTTAAAGTTAGCAAGAACAATAAACTCTTATGTGCTGTTGGGTTGTTTTCATCCAGTCTGGGGTGACTTTGAGTCTTAAGGCTGATTTATACTTCTACGTCAAACGCCGGCGTATGCTACAGCGCTGACGCATAGCACTTCACCATGGCCGTCGGCGTCGCTGACGTGTACCTCTCAAAAAATGTAACTACACGTCGCAACAACGCATAGCGCAAGCTATGTGATTGGTCAGCTTGGTAGCGCTGACTAGTCTGGGCGGGACCGAGAGCCACGCGAATGGCGCGAGGGATTGTTTACAAGTGTGGAGTCCCGTGAAGGAGCTCCGGATGGAAAGTTTTGTTTTGTGTTTACCTCATAGTTAAAGTTGTTGCACGTCCGCCGGTTCCTGCCTCGAAATGAGCGAGTTTGAGTCACTTGTACATCCAGGAAGTGTTCAGGAAAAGCAAAACAGAAGCGAAGAAACTCGACACAGAGGAACATTTACACCTCACTCCGGTCACTTGACGCAGAAGTATAAACCAGGCTTTAGTCTGGCCTCAACTTTCTCTGTGTATCAGCAAATGGAGTGATTTTTGGTAACAAAACCAGCCTGATCTCACGAGAAAACGTAAGTATTTTACGTTTTGCCAGTTTAGTGGCTAATTCGTACAAGTTCAGTCGTACGAAATTGTATAATTTTAAAAAGGAGGCGTGGCACCTAACCCCACCCCTAAACCCAACCGTCATTGGGGGATGAGCAAATCGTACTAAAATGTACGAATTAGATTGTACGAATTCGTACAAATTAGCCACTAAATGAAAAAGTTACGAATTGCCATGAGATTGTGTTGAACAAAACTTATTTTAATGCATAATTTGGAAAAAAATATTGAAGAATACACAAAATCGACTACCCTTTCATCATGTTTTTGTCTCATTGACTTCCATTATAACGTCATTTTTTTTTTATTGTAAAGCCATGGCAGCATTTACTCATCATGCATTCTTGATTGTTAGTGGAGGTCAATGGGGCAAAAACAGCCCCCAACATAACGAAAGTGTAGTCAATTTGAACAGTACACAAAGGGTTAAGACTTGCCATCAGAATCTGAAACCGTGTTATATCTACTCTTCTCGTTTTTGGCTTGACCTGTGCAGCACATGTTCCATGATGTTTTGGTGGCAAAAAAGTAGCTAAAGCAGTCCAAACCACAGTTCATATCCGACAAGCAAAAGGCGCTGTGCAGAAAATTGTGCGCGATTAGTTTCGAATCGCAGCTGTAGTTATCCAGCGGATCCGCATACTCCTTTTGTACAATGTATTTAACGATGTAACCCAAATGAACCGGAAAGAAGCATACGATGAACACGATTAAATTAGCTATGATGATAAACATGCATTGGAGTTTTTCCGAACGTGATCCGACGTCCAGTTGTTTTCGTAGAGTGTGAATGACTCTTGCGGAGCAGTAAAGCATGATTATAAATGGCAGTACGAATCCAACGATAATTAGCAATAAAATGAAATGTAGCGACAACGTTTGCTTGACCCTCTGGAAGCACATGGTCTTATCGTTACTTGAGTCGGTGACGAAGTACACCGGACTGATGGAGCAAATGGTAACCCATATTACGGCGCAAACCACCAGAGCGCTTCGACAAGAGAATATTTCCCTGGCTTTCATTGGATACTTAATAGCAACGTATCGTACAACGCTTATGGCGGTGATTGTGAATATGCTGACGTACATGTTGATGTAATAAAGCGACAAAACGAAATTGCAGAGCTTCTGTAAACCGCCCGCCAGCTCCCGGTTGTAGTAATGGATCTTAACAGGCAGGAAGATCAATAGGGCGCAGTCGGCGGCAACCATGTTGGAGATGTAGATGTTCATGTAGGTCCATTGGGTTTTGGGACGCCAGCAGAACTTCACCAACACGTAGATGTTTCCCAGCATCCCTAGAACGAACATGGGAATGGAAGTGACTTTTTGTAGGGTCAGGATGGAGTCGTTGAGGTTGAGCGTGCAGTTGGACATCGCAAAGCCTGTGGGAAATTAAAACATGTGCATTGAGATATAGACTTTATTTAGCATAAGAACATTCATTCAGTTTCCTTCAGCTTAATCCCTTTAGTCATCAGGGGTCGATACAGCAGAATGAATCACCAACTTATCCAGCCTATTTTTTACAGAGCGGATGCCCTTTTTGCAACCCAGAACTAGAAAACAGCCATAACCTCTCATTCACAGTGCTGTTGAAAAAAAAAATGCACTAAAATGTTCACGGGAAATGAATGTTTTTACAATTTCAGTATCGATTGGTACCGAATTCCAGTATCATGACACTATATTTGAAGTCATACTTACATAATATTTCAGACCTAGGGCCCTATAATACACCTGGCGCAGTGTGGCGCGCCGCGCAATAGTCTTTTGGTAGTTTCAGCTTGGCACAAGAGTCGTTTTGAGGCGTTGCGCTACTCTGTTTAAATAGCAAATGCATTAGCGCTCATTTGTAGGCCCATAGGCGTTCTGCTCTAAAAAGGAAGGCGTTCTGAGGCGGACCGCTGGCGCGTTGCTATTTTGAGAATCTATAATAGATTTTTCATTAGACCAAAACTAACCCGGTCTAAACTCCGGCGCAGAGTTGCGCCTCGCTTACACACTGCTTAATACACACAAGAGAGAAATAGACAAATATCTTTACATATGAAAAAAATTAAATATTAAGGATATAGATTGGATATAAATATAAATTATTAAAATATTACAAAACATATTATTTTCTAGCCTACATCATTTTATGTCTTCTTTATCTCGGGAGGCTTTTTCAGTTCATTCAATTTGCTTTTGTATAATGTTATTATTATTAGCAGTATTATTTAATATATCCATATTTATATTTGTTTTATTAAAAACAAGCTTAGATTTGCCCACCTGTCAGGTTTAAGCCCATATGGGGCATGGCAGGTGTATTTGGAAATAACTCAGTATTTTGACCCCACTTGGTTATTATTGTTCATTTATTCGTTTGCTGGAAATTAGAACTGAATTTAGAAATAGTTTTAAAACAAATATTTGCGCTTAACAAACTAAATTAATTATTTATAGACTAACTGATGTCTGTGCGTAAAGGTTCCCCTATCCAAGAGCGAAAGTGAAAGTAGATCCATTATCTCTCATTCTCACGCAGTAGATGCTCTGTTTAACAGTTATCTGTTAAAAAACTGTGAACTGTTTGCTTGTGAAATGCTCATTTTTTCCACTTAGACTTACTTTGCGTCCTGTAAATAGCGAATGCGCTCTTGGCGCGACGCAGCTGACTCTTAAAGGGAATGGGAGATGAGACTCTAATTGGTTTATTCTCAAAACACACCTGTAACTCATTAAGAAAATAAACTCAACCCTTTTAGCCCTTGCGCCACGGCGCAAAGCGGATTTTCCCGTCCTTAAATTAGCGAAAATGCGTTCTGACACATCCTGAAAGCGTTTGCGCCCTGCGTTTTGCGCTCTGCGCATGGACCGTCAAAATAGAGCCCCCAATATTCAAAGTACCAAGAGAAACAATATAAGCTTCATGTCAAAAGTTGTCACATTTTTTAAAAATGAATGAATGTGCGATTATAAAACTGACCTCACCTCAATTACACCTTTGTATAAAAATCTTCATTCAGTTGATTGAGTGTTTCTATCTGAGCTACTGTTAAAGGCTTTGGCTTCATCTAATTAAATGTTATAGTGTTTCTTGCGCTTAATAAAATTTATATGTAGTACAGATAAATATGAGCCGCCATTTCATAAAGCGTGAATCATCTCAGACTGCTTTCTTGAACATGACAATGAGTTCACTGAACTCAAATGGCCTCCACAGTCACCAGAGCTCAATCCAATAGAGCGCCTTTGGGATGTGGTGGAATGGGAGATCGCAACACAATCTCACTGCAATTCTTAACATTTTGATTTTGTGGCTAATTTGTATTAATTAATATGATCTAATTCGTACAATTTAGTATGATTTGCTCATCACCCAATGACAGTTGGGTTTAGGGGTGGGGCTAGGTGCCACGCCTCCTTTTTTTAAATCGTACATTTTCATACGACCACTCATACGAATTTGTACAAATTAGCCACTAAACTGACAAAACGTAAAATAGTTACGTTTCCTTGTGAAGTCAGGTTGGAGACAAATATCATATCAATCATGTCAATTTCGACCAAAATATCTGAGGAATATTTCCAGTAGCTTGTAGAATCTATGACACGAAGGATCAAAGCAGTTCTGAAAGCAAAAGGGCGTCCAACCCAGTGCCAGTAAGGTGTACCTAATAAAGTGGCCAGTGAGTTTATATCTCTCTCTATATATATATATAGAGAGAGAGAGATTTTTTTAAAATTAAATAAACCCTATATTATGCCTTCCAGCAAGAAAAATCCACAGGTCTCTACCTGCAGGTCTATACACACAGAATTTGCATAATCTCAAACGTTAGCCCTTGCCAAAATCTTTTTGCGTTGCATCTTCAGAAGCTCCCAACATATATGCGTGTTTTTTTATGCATTCCCACACCCACTGCAACATTCCTCTGCTTGTGAACTGCTCACATGTTTTGATGTGCACCAGTGGTGTTCAGAAAGATCTCTTTTGTTGTCCAAACTCCAAAGTCTCATCCTCAATAGTTTTGTGAAGTTCAGACTGTTTTTAAAAGTACTTTAGCACTGTAAAAATGTCCTTAATTTCAATGGTGACAAAAAAAACCCTGTACAAATGCTGCAGTACGTAATCATTTAAATGAAACCATTTGTTTAATATTCATTGAAAATTCATAAATATTTAAGTTCAGAAAACCTTTTTTTTTTTCTCAGAAAGGCTTTTAGTGTACAAGGCTTTCATATGAAGCCAAGAAAAAAAGAAAAGAATAGATCCAGCAGGGGCTGGCAGTGGCTTTATGTCATCAGATTGACTTTCACTTTCAGTTTGCGATCTCCAGCCTAGAATAACTCCTGCTCTGGGGCAGGTTAGCCCTTTACAATACGTGACCATGGCGACAATGTCAGATCTAAACAAACCAACATTCTAGAGGGGAAGTGTAAACCGGAAATCTGGAACAGGGATCAATTTCCACCGTATTTCCTTTCTTTCTTACTTGTGTCGTTTTGTTTGTTTATAATTGGCTACTAATGTTTTACTAATTAGTACATATACCAATACGTGCAGATCATTTGATTTAAAAAGCGATTCTTTAAACAGTTTTTCAATAAAACATGCTGCCATTCAGACTGCCACATCTATTCTGAGCAGAGTCTATTTTTTTTAATCATCCGACAATAAAAGAGGCGCACTGAAAGGTTTTAGACACAACTGGACTCTCTTTCCAGACCACAGTACTGAATCCAAGCTTTTAAAAGCCAGTATTTAGGTCAAACAGTTGAAGTCAGAAATATTCGCCCCCCTTTGAATAGTTTTTTTTTTTCTTTTTTAAATATTTCCCAAATGATGTTTAACAGAGCAAGGAAATTTTCACAGTATGTCTGATAATATTTTTTCTTCTGGAGAAAGTCTTATTTGTGTTATTTCGGCTAGAATAAAAGCAGTTTTTAATTTTTTAAATCTATTTTAAGGGCAATATTATCAGCCCTTTTAAGCTATATATTTCTCGATAGTCTACAGAACAAACCATCAATAACTTGCCTAATTATCCTAACCTGCCTAGTTAACCTAATTAACCGAGTTAAGCCTTTAAATGTCATTTTAAGCTGTATAGAAGTGTCTTGAAGAATATCTAGTCAGTTATTATTTACTGATCATGGCAAAAATAAAATAAATCGGTTATTAGATATGAGGTATTAAAACTATTATGATTAGAAATGTGATGAAGAAATCTCTCCATTAAACAGAAAATGGGGGGGGGGGGGGGGGGGGTGACAGGGTCTAATAATTCTGACCTCAGCTGTATATGGGTTGGAAAGTTGTTCACTTTGTAACAAAATATGGTTAATTTGAATATTATTTGTTTATTATTCATACTGGTGGCTCAGTGGTTAGCACTGTGGCCTCACAGCAAGAAGGTCGCTGCTTTGAGTCCTGGCTGGGTCAGTTGGCATTTCTGTGTGGAGTTTGCATGTTCTCCCCGTGTTGGTGTGAGTTTCCTCTGGGTTTCCACCACAGTCCAAACACATGCGCTACAGGGGAATTGGTTAGGCTAAATTGGTTCTAGTGTATGAGTGTGTGTGTGTGTGAATGCGAGAGTGTTCCACATCTGAAAAAAAGAAGCTCAGTTTATGGATTTTATGGAGGTACCAGCAAATTAAAGTGTGTGTATGGCTGCGTCCGAAACCGCATACTTCCATACTATATAGTATGCTAAAATCAGTATGCGAGCCCAGTAGTATGTCCGAATTCATAGAATTGGAAAATCAGTATGCGAGAAGTACACGGATGACTTACTACTTCCGGCGAGATTCTGGAGTGCACATCCCATGCACGCTGCGCTATCCCATGATGCCCCACGAGCGAATTCATGAATGGGAGTAAAGCGACGCAATTGACGCAGGTAGGTCACGTGACCATGACAAAATGGCAGATGTAGTACTTCCGAATTCCATTCATACTTTTCACATTCATACTGTATGGAACGTACTTTACTAACGGCCGAGTAGTACGTTTAAATTCAAATGCAGTACCTACTGAGTAGTAGGCGGTTTCAGACGCAGCCTGTGTGTGTCTG